TGTTTCGGGCCTTCTGGGGTTGATGAGGGCTTTTTGGGATTGGGTTTAGGGTTTAGGGTTTAGGGTTTAGGGTTTAGGGTTTAGGGTTTAGGGTTTAGGGTTTAGGGTTTAGGGTTTAGGGTTTAGTTTAAGGCTTCGTGCTTGTGTTTGTCTTTGAGTCCAAGTTTACCGTAAACCTACGGGCCGTAACTAACACTACCCTAGACCCCGGAACCCTAAACCCCTAAACCCTGAAAGCTCTACATAAGAACCCTAAACCCTAAACCATAAAAACTCTACATAAGAACCCTAAACCCCGCGGAAGTTTGTTTTTAGAAGATTTGACCAGCATGTGGGGTTTTTGAAGGTTTGGCCAAAGGTCCGTTGGGTTTGATTTGCAAAAAACTATATCGGGGAAGGCGCACCTGTAGCTTTTTTTCTGTAATCTGTTTTTTGCTGTTCTTGGACCCCCAAGCCCTAAACCCTAAACCCTAAAACCCAGAAAACCCTAAAACCCTGAACCAGTGGAGGCCAACTGGACACCAACACAACGTTCGAGACCTCTGGCCTGCCAAAGAAACCAAAGCCTCGGAGCCTCAAGTTTGTTCTTTCCATGTAGATAAAGGGTTTAGGGTTTAGGGTTTAGGGTTTAGGCAGTAGATAACTTAGATAATGGGTTTAGGGTTTGGGGTTGAAGTTTTGGGGTTTAGGTAGTCGATAACTTGGGCTTGCAGTGCAGCAGGGGTGAAAGACCTGTTGGCGTACTCACCGCAGATTGTGGCACACAAGTCTGGACAGCTCGCAAAGGAGGAACTGCAGATCCAGGTCTTCGAGATATCAGATAAATGCCGTGCAAAGTCTCGCAGAGCGACGCGGGCCCGCGGGCACTGTGCTAGCCAACTATCCTCACCTGACTGCGGTGTCTTCCCTGGGCCCCGACGTAGATCCAGAAAAAACAGGCGATGGCATGAGAGCAGCTTCTTACGAGCCACGTCCAACTCTTGCTTCGTGCCATGTCAGGATCTGTCTGCCGCTGCGGTTCCCAAAGACTGCGCCGCGGCTTCGGCCCAGCACGTGCATGATCCCCCTTATTTCGAAAGGCGCTGGAGCATGTGAACTCCAGTAGAGTTTGCCCATAGGCCCTAAAGTAGTTCCTTTTGCGGGTGCATATATAGAATCCGATAAGAAAACCCCAAGAAGGAACCACTATGGGGCCTATGGGTACTAGGGACCCGTATCCACGAGGGCAAAACCCAGATACATTGGGGACCGTTCTGTCTGCACCCTGAACTAGATGACCCCGGAATCGCCCAAACCCCAAAACCAAAAAAGCTCGACTCTACATAAGATAAGAACCCTAAACCCCCAAACCCTAATTAAAAGCTCCACATAAGAACCCTAAACCCTAACAGATTTACATAAGAACCCTGAACCCGAAAAGCTCTACATAAGAACCCTGAACCCTAAACCCTCAAAGCTCTACACAAATGCTCAAGGCAAAGCCGCAGCTTCCGCGCTTTCTCCACGAAGCTGGCATAGGCAGCGGAAGCCTCACGGTCTTTGGGCTTTGAGGTTTGAGTTCTAGGGTTTAGGGTTTGCGGTTAGAGTTTAGGGCTTAAAAGGTCTTTGGGCGTTGAGGTTTGAAGTTTAGGGTTCAGGGTTTAGGGGTCTTTGGGCTTTGAGGTTTGAAGTCTGGGGTCTTTGGTTTGGGAGTTTGGGGTTTAGGCTTGTAGGGTTGATGGCTTGGTTTAGGATTTCGGGTTTAGGGTCGCATGGTTGGTAAAGGACCCCTTATCTTTCAAGGTTGGGGTTTCTTCTTGATTTTGGCTTAACCCTAAACCATACAACCCTAATCGCAACTGAATCGTAACCCTAATCCTAAGCCTAAACCCTGAACCCTAAACCCTAGCTAATGTAGGGTTGCTGCTCTGCAAATGTAGGATTTTGTGGCTACGACCTAGACAGGGCTTGTACTCCAAATCCTAAACGCCCGAAGACATCGAATGTTGGAATGGAGTACCTGCTGCCGACCCTATGCTAAACCCCAATACCCAAAGACATAGGGTTTAGGGTGCAAGCCTAAACCCTAAACCTTAAACCCTAAAACCTATAAACCCTAAACCCTAAACCCTGTAAGTCGCAGAAACCAGCAAACCTGCAGTCCTACCCTGGAAATTCCCCAGCTCTCCATCTCTTAGGATCCATGTGCCCATGGAATCATCTAGTTAGTTTGATATAGGGGCCTTTATACTTCGAAGAGGGTTGGGGGCCCATGAAACTATAATTATAATAAGGGAACATCTGTCAAGCCTGAGTACATTCTGCGTCAGTGCATGCACCCTGAAAGAGTTGGCATGCAAGTCCTTTGTAGGGTTTAGGGTTTAGGGACCCTAAACCCTTCGCCCTAAACCCTCTATGCACACATCCCTGAGCCTAAAAACCTTCGTTTACGCCTGGAGACACCTTATGACCTCTACAACGTCTCTGTTAGGGCCTGCGCGGGCTGTCATCCAAAACTCTCGAAGGCCCACAAAGGTGTGCCTGACCCACCCTACCTTCAACCCGACTGCACAGTTTGGGGTTTAAGGTTTAGGGTCTCGGTTTTGGGTTTAGGGCTTTTGAAACCCTTCCAACACGAAGTCCTAGGTCTGAAGACGAAGAACCCTTGCCCTGAATTCTAATCAAACCTACCACACCCCGAAACAGAGGGAAATGGAAGGACTTCAGAGACATCGTACTCACCCCTAAACCCTGACCCTACAGCCGCTCACCTATGATTATCTTATGACTGATTATACCCTCAACCCTAAACCCTAAACTTTACCTACTACGGTTGATGATGTAAATCCTGCATTACCCATAATAAGGAATATACCATAATTCCCATAGTTTAGGGTCCTTATAATGTAATGCAGGATTTATCTCATCAACAGTAGGTCCCCCGGACCCCGAGCTGGGCGCCCTAAACCCTAAACCCTAAACCCCAAATCCTAAATCCTATAATCCTAAACCCTAAACCGTAAACCCTAAACCCTAAATCCTAAACCCTAAAGACTGAACCCTGGGCCTTGAACTCACTGATCTCTTTGGTGTAGCGCTCCGTATCCTCGCGGCCCTTCCTTTGCAGACCGTGGTGCTTTCTTGCTTGGCTCTACACCCTACACAGGTTTTGGGGGTTCCTTGAAAGGGTCCTGTAAGGGCTACTATAAGGGTTTAGGGTTCAGGGGCCTGAATAATCAGAATAGGGTTTTGGGGTATACTATACCATAACTATGATAAGGAGCCCCCAAAATAGTCCAGGTACTTATTGAAGCCCTAATATTACACAGGTTCTATGCCAAACCCCTAAACCCCTAAACCCTAAACCAAGGGTTTTGCTTGGGCTCCATGACGATTGCCTAGAGGCTTTCCGAGGCTCTGCACACGCTGTAATCCGCAGGGTTCTGTATAAGTTCTCTGGGTTGTAGTTTTGGGGCCCTGAAAAGTATTTCTGAATAGGTACCCCCAAAGAGACCAGCAGGGAAATTCTAAAGTTTCCCAAATTGCCACCTAGCTCTTCTGTGATATTCTATGCACGGTTCATCGTTCAAGAAGCGTTCAAGAAGGGCTCAATAAGGGTACTCGTTCTACATCTGTTCTTCAGCGGTAGTATGATGGGTTGAAGACAGGTTCTGTAAATCCCAGAGTGGCTTCGGTGCTAAGGCAGGTAGGGTCTAGGCTTCGGAAGTTGGGTTTAGGGTTTAGGTGCTCGGGTTTAGGTGTTCAGGGTATAGCGGTTCAGGGTTTAGGTGCTTAGGTTTTAGCGTCTATGGTCTAAGGGTTTAGAATTTGCAGGGTTCCGGGTTGGAAAAGGCTTGTAGGGTTGTGGCTGCGGAGCTGTCGTGACGTAGCCGTACAAACGAAACGACGATCCGAAGTCCATGACAGCCTAAGCCCAGGACTCTAGAACACACAATGTGGTCCCAGCATCGAGATGTACGGAGCTTTCTGATCCTCTGGAAGAGCCGCCCATTCAGCGACGACTGTCTTCATCATCACCTCCAGTGCCCGATGCTTTGGGCCCAAAGTCCATATATAGGGACTACCATAACGGCAAACTGCACGAGTATATGGGCCCTAGGGGTAGAATGTGCGGAAAGAAGTGTTGTCGCGGCTTAATATAAGGGCCTTAATAATTAGAATAGGGTGTTGGGGCCCATAATACTGCAATTATACTTTCTGAACAAAACCTAGTGTGTGGAAAAACTCGGCCTTTCTGTATAGTAAGGAACCCCCAAAATAATATAGGTAACTCTTATTAAGGCCCTGTATTACACAGGTTCTATACCAATCCCTAAACCCCTAAACCCTAAACCCTAAACCAAGGGCTTTGCTACTATAAGCATAATAAGGAACCCCCAAAATAATATAGGTAACACTGACGGCTCCTATATGGGACCCAAAAGCATCTCCCAGATTCCAAACCCCCCCACAGTCAAAAGAGTTTACCGAACCTTGTGGCTCGATGTGCTGCGCAAGGAAGCATTTTTGAGGCCTTATAGGTTGATACTTTTTCAGGCCTAAGTAGAACTTGGAGGTTCATGGGTAGTTATAGGTAGGGTTATAAAACCCCTAAGGTGGGGATTATAGCGTCCCATGAACCTCCAAGAAGAGTTTGTCGAATTTGCAGACTCTGATCCGAACAGCCGGCATGCTTCGAGAGTTCAGCCGTTAGTATAGGGCCCTTAACCCCGAGTCCTAAACTGGAGGGTTTAGGGTTTAGGGTTTAGGGTTTGCCATCTTTTAGCGTTTGCCGTTTTGAGCCTTGGATCCTTGGGCTGTACCCAAAGGCCCCATAGTAGTTCCTTTTTGGGATTACCTTATAGGATTCTCAATATGAATCCCAAAAGGGAACTACTATGGGGCTTCAGGGTCCATCGCTATATATGGCGGAACTGGAGCCACAATTAGGGCTCCATATGCCTACATAGTTTATTCCCAGGCCTCAAGGAGCCTATACAGGAACTTTAACGGTATATATAGGAACATGGAGCCTCACGGTAACATGATTCGAAAGAAGAGTGTGAAGAACAGTGCGTGAGCCTGTGTATTTCGCAAGACACCAACTTCGAAACTCCCGGCAATGAAAAGCCCTGGCTGCGATAAGGTGATAAGACTCTGACTGTCACGTTGAGCTTCTTTGTCGCATCTTCCTCCTTCGCTTTTTGGCACCTGAGGTCGCAGTGATACCCAACCGGCATTAGGACCCCAACCTCGCCACGCGGTATCCAAGGAATCTTGCAGCACGGTGCCCAGCGGGGCTTTCGGAGCCCCAAAGCCTCAACTAAAGCCCAAAGGAACCTGAGTAACCTTAGTACATGGAGTATCACATGTAAGGGAATAATGTTTAGGTTGCATATATAGAGCATAGGGTACAGAGATTAGGTTTCCCGTATGTTGCAGGGAACAAAGCGACATTGCAACACGCTGCACAGTACAGAAACATAACACCACTGTTGGAGTATTCACCAGCCATAAGCAGCATCATGCACAACAGCGGGAACATCGGGGAATATGGAAGTGAAGATGACGATGATGGCGATGCGAGTGTTCTCGTGATGCAGATGTTTGCTCACCACCACTAGTCACACATCTACCATAACCTTAAACAAGCGATACTTCCATTAGACTACAATGGGCCACTGTGAACAACATCGTTGACGACAGTGACGACTATGCCACCCACAGCGACGAAAATGACAAACCTAGCCAAGCAGAACAGTCAGTGTGCATATTAAACATATTTATGTATCTATACATATATACATGTGATGTATAAATGAAGAATGAGAAAGTTGGTAATCCTGAAAATAAGTATCCTGGCATTGTTGATGGGATAACTTCCATAATCTTCCAGACATACAAGTGACCAAAAGAAGAAGATAATAAAGCGTTAAGTGCAGCCCGATATCGGTAAGCCCACGGAACCCCCTTCCTCGAACACCAGAATGCAGCTCAAACCGAGACAGTCAGACAAGCTACCCTAAACCCTAAACCCGAAATCCTTAGGCGCAGCCCTGAACCCTAAACCCAAAGCCTAAACTCTAAACCCGAAATCCTTAGCCCTAAACACTAAACCCTGAACCCTAAATCCTTAGCCGCAGCCCGAAATCCCCCATTCTAAGCCCCAAACCCTGAAAGGGTTTAGGGTCAAGGGTTAGGGTTCAGGGTTTAGGATTTAGGGTTTAGGACTTCGGGTTTACGGTTTAGGGCTCACCCCTGAACCCTAAGGACCGACACTTAGACAAGCTACAGAGCTGGCATCCTCTCCGCTGTGAAGAGGCCCCAAGCTGCAGCGTTGAGGGCTGAGGTTCTTCACTTTGAAGGGCGTAAAGTTAAAGGCTTTGGGGTTAGGGGTTTTGAAGGGCGTAAAGTTAAAGGGGTTTAGGGGTTAAGGGTTCGGCGTTAGGGGTTAGGGTTTAGGGTTGAGGAGAAGTTCCGGAATTGTCTGCACAGACTGCCTGACATAACAGCTCAAAAGCAAAAGGACGGGCAGGCTCATGGCTTGTCAGTCAGCTGGAGGGGTTCGGGGTTTCGGAGTGGGGTTTTGAAGTTTAGGGTAAGGGTTTGAGGCTTTTGAGGGTCTCTGGATTTAGGGTTTAGCAGTTCAGGGGTTTAGGGGTTAGGAGTTGGGGGTTCAGGCTTGTAGATACATTCCATGGATTGGGATGTAGAAGTTTGAGTTTGAAGGCTGAAAAAATTGCAGTCCTTTGGCTCTGAGCCTTGAAAGACCTGGCCTTCAAGGCTTCTGGAGCTTGCCTTGGCCCTACAAAGCCTAGCATTTGAGGGCTCCTTATTCTGACTTCCTTCGATAAGTCCTTACAAAAGTAGGCTATTTGGGATTCAGGTGGAGCTTAGGGCTGTCGGGGCTTCTAAACTCTAGCATTCGGCGCTTGGCGGCTCTGACTGCTTCGCGTTTAGGATGGAGAGTCTGGGTACGTTACGATGATGCAACAAAAAATTGACGGACATAGGGGGACTTGAGAGCATTGGCTCTGCCAATTTTGCGGGTTCTTAGACATCTGAAATTTAAGGCTTGCGGGGTTTAGGCTGTCGTTAGGGCGTAGGTTGAAGGTTTAGACTTTAGGGCGTTCCGGGGTTAGGGTCTTTGAGACATCGCAGCAAAGCCACCGGACTTGGGTGGCACAGGCAAGGCAGCCCTCGGAGAGCCAGGTTGTTTGGAGGCTTGGGGATGCATGGCTAAGGCTCAGGGTTTACGAAGAGTTTAGGGTGGCTACCGTCTATAAGGTTCTGCTTACGGGTTATTTGGGACTTGTATCTCGCCTTTCACGGCTGTTCAGGAGGCTTCAAGGTTCGGGCTACCGCTGGCGGTGGAAGGGTCCTGGGATTCACGGCTTGAGTGCTTTGGGATGTTACGGCTTGAAAGGCTTCGCGTCCGGCAACGGTCACACTTCTTCGTTTGCACAGACGCTCGAGGGAATGCTGAACAAATGACCGGAAGAGGGCGAGGATCCGTGGGTTAAACTACTACAGCTAGATAAAAAAAGCTTGTGCAGATCTCCACGAAGTGTACAAATCAAGCTTGCACCCCAGAGTGCACAGAAGAGATTCTGGCTGCTTGGCTTGGAAAGTGGCTCCCACGCCAACTCACCAGGTTCCTGGAAAAAGGAACAGCAGTGAAAAAGCAAGACAACTCACTCCCGAAACCAGCTAGAGAGACCTCTTGGTCTCAACGATTTCTCGGAATGGCATCTGAAAGACGCCGCGAAGCTGAATGCTGCAACCCCCTCCTCAAACAAACCCGGCAAAACTCCTGTTAGTTAGGGTAAATGTAGAACTCCCAGCAGAGTTAGCTCGAAATTTGCGAACGGACCGACAACGAAACCCTTCGAATCCAGAGCCTGCATCCTTTCATAAGGGCTCTATGGGCTGTAATGGTGCTACGAAAGTTCACATGGCTGAAGACTGCTTTTCGTGTACGGTTTTAACGGCATCAGGCTGCAAAGCTGCAAATTTTGAGCTTCGAGTCGGTTTATAGGGTTTAAGGTTTTGGTTTTTTTTGGTTTTGGGTTTTTTTGGGTTTAGGGTTTAGGGTTGCGGGTGTAGGGGAAACCTTGCAGTGGCGACGAAAAGCTGCAACCAAGACCATCCATGCCAAACCCAGCAATCCCCCACCTTCCCCCAGCGACCCTTAGTTAAACCTCTATAACTATAACCCCTAAACCCCAAGCCCTGAACCACTAAACCCTACAGTAAACCCTAAACTAAACCCTAAACCCTGAACCCTACAGGCATTTTATTAGAGGCCGCTAGAACCCGTGACCCCTGAACCCGAAAATCCGGCGAGGATCTCCGGTGATGTCTTGCGTGCGGCTGCGGCGAGTTTCAGGGCGATCCTGCTCGGACTGCCGAGAGCCGGGGCGGGAGATGGCCAGGGTTTGGGGCTTAAGGGTTCAGGGTTTAAGGGTTTAGGGGTTTAGGGTTTAGGGTCTAGGGTTTAGGGTTTAGGGTTTGGGCTTTCGGGTTTAGGGTTTGGGGTTTAGGGTCTAGGGTTTGGGGCCAGAGGTCTACTTGGAGGTTCATGGGTAGTTACAAGTGGGGTTATAATTAGGACAACTATAGTTATAACCCATATTCAGGGACGTATAACCCTACTTATAACTACCCATGAACCTCCAAGTAGGTGTTTCAGGGCTTTGGGGTTGGATTAGGGGATTTGTGATGAATTCATATCATCAGGGTGCTTTATTGCTTCTGGCCTAGTACCGAGCAATTCACTAGATGGACTAGGATCTAAGAAAATCGACAGCCAAGTTTCTGAACTCGCCACCAGCAAACGTGTGAATGCCCAGGACAGAAATAAGACACATGCAGTCTTCTGTGAGTCAAAAAACATGACTCCTTTATCAATCCATGTGGCACCAGCCTCAATAACGCATCATCGCGATCAAAATAACCATCTTCGTCACCATCATCATCATCATCATCATCATCATCTTCTTCATCTGTCCTGCCACCGGGGAAAGATGAAGAAAGTGAGCTCTCGTGCACAAACTCCTCCCGTGGCTCTGGCTGGACTGTGATCAACACTCATCTTCATTATCATCATCGCCATCATCACCATCATCATCAGCTGCACAGCCATAAAGATTAGCCAGCGCCGTCAGAAAGCTGCCGGAGCGTTCTCAAAATGCGCCCGCCAGGACCCTTGCAACATCTTCAACCCCGAATGATACCCAACCCGAATCACGGTTTAGGGTTTAGGGTTTAACTTGCAGAGCTGTTTTTAACCGCAACCAGAACCCTAAACTGATCCCTGGAAGCACTGCAGCCTGCCTATTCACGCAGTTGGCAATGGCCTTTGCCTGTCGCCAAGGAAGCATAGCTTCATGTTTGTCATGCCCCATCTGTGCGAGTGGCGATCCAACAAGAATGGCTCCCATTTGTTGCTAGGGTGGTCGTGCCACTCAACAAATCTTGTAGTCGTTCTCTCTTCATCCCAACATTCATGTTGCGTATGAAGCATGACTGCTGTTTCGTTCAACAGACATGGACCTGTCTTAATGAATAGACGCAGCCTTCTTCTTGCTATTCGCGTGACATCTCTTAGCCGGACACCTAGACCGCAAGCCACACTCAGAGCAAGCCTCAGATTTATATCGGAAGGGGCAAGAACTTGCAAAAGATATACGAATCATGAAGTAGATTGATGCTTGTACGATCTTCATCTGAGGATCCTGGGCTAGGACCCAGAGGGGGAGGCTAGCTTTCAACCGCGGCAGCGAGCGAATCCCAGAAACGGAGACCACAAGCCATGTGCACCCGGAGGGCCATGACCAGAATCGAGGAAGATTAACATTCTCAACTACCAAGAAATTTGATTGTAGGTTTGTTTTTAAGGGTTTAGGGTTTAGGGTCTAGGGCCTAGGGTAGTACCTGCTTTGGGTCACGAGGATGGTTTGATCAGAAAGTAAGGTAACCAAAACATGAAAGACCCTCCAAAGTGTATTCCCGCCCGGCAGGCCCGCTTGCAGGATCACAGGACCGCAGCAAGCTGGTAAAAGCTGCAGTTACCCAAACCCCAAACCCTGAACCCCAAACCCGTAAGTACACTGTAGCCCTACTTGTACCCTGACTTACCCCAGAGATCCGAGTCTCAATCAGTCAGGTAATGTGCGTTGCGTCATTGCTTGATCCTCTAAAATTCTAACTGTTTGACTCTGTTTTGTGTGTGTGTGTGTGTGAGAGTCGAACCCGACTTCAAAGGTTTAGGGTTTAAGGGTTTAGAGTTCGGGTTTAGGGGTTTGGGAAGTAGTATGCAGTATGCTGCTTAGTTACGGTTGCAAGGTACTAGGTGCCCTGATCTAAGTCTAATCTACACCCTAAACCCTACGTAGTTCGCACATCAAACCCTCATTCAATTCCTGCACTGTAAACCCCAAATCCGAAAACCCCATAAGCCTGAGCCCTTTTAAACCCTTCCACCCTGCCTCCTTCGCGTTTTCTTTCGCGTCTTGAACGCCAGCACCGAGCTTGGACAGCCTTTGCGTTCGCGCTTCGGCGGCATTCCAAGCTGGGAACTTTCAGATTTACGTAATCTGGGGTTTGGGGTCTAGGGTTTAAACGGCTATATATTAATAACTCTTCAGGTATCGGGGCTTGGCGAGGGGTGTACCTGCACGACGGCTTCTGAATGCAAGATTGCACAGATATCAGCTCACTGGCGGGCTGATATGCGAAAACTCCCGTCGTTGCTACCAACCACGGAAACCATATCATCTACTTCAGCACCCTAATCCCTGAACCCTAAACCGATCCATGCTATGGTAACTTAAACTAAATCCCTGAAGAAACCACCAGCAGCTGATGTGCGACAGAGACCTTTTGGGGGGTACGTTGACCAGGTCGTACACTCCAAGGGGATTGCTGAACTGTCCAAGTAGTAGACGTCGGATGTTTAGGAAAGTTTAGGGTTTTGGGTTGAGGGTTAAGGGGTTCGCAAGCGCCGGCCTTGTTGATTCAAGACACAGCACATCACGACATATACCAAAACACTGACCCCCCCCCCCAACCGATTACCTCCCAACCATCAAGCCAAACGTAGGCACCCTGAACATCAAAACATCAACCACAACGAAAGCCGTAAGCCATAGGCTTTCTAACAACACTAAACTCTTTGACGAGGCTCTACAATAGATCATGCAAGAATCACAGGCCCCGCCGAAGCGTGCACCTACTGCTGCCGCGGGACTTGCTCTGATGCACCTTCCACTCCTTGAACCCCAAAGCCGTCTTCTTCACCTGTCCGATGCAGCTGGTTTAGCATATGCATACGCACGCAGTTCGACATGGCAGTAATCTTGGTCCAGCGATGCCAAACATCAATACCCACATCTGGCATTTAGAGCAATGATGTCGCAATGACAGTAAAACAGGATGCTGCAGTGCGGGCTGTGTCCCTGCGGAAAACCATGCAACCCGGTAGGCCTTGTTTACTGTCGGTTCTACGGCTGAGGGTCCATAATATGGAGTCCAAAGCTACACGTGTTCATGCAAGCGAATGAATGTTATGCCGACACTGTGAATAGGGCCCCCCCAAAAAGCACATAAGCAAAACTTAGGATAGGGATACCCCATATAGACCCCCTTATAACGAAGCCCAATAAGGTAGGGATATCCCAGTAAAATGCTTATGCTTATGTCATCCTTGGGTCCCTAAGTGAAAGGAACTCTTAATCCTCCAACCGCATTTTCGTCGTAGTCGTAGCCTGAAGAAACAGTTTGCTGGGCTACACCGCTAAGGACGCATGGCCAGCCGTGGTGCATGAATCATACTCTTCCGTAGACACGATGCAGACGATTCCCAGGCCGGAAAAACTCTTTAAGCGAAGCTTCCAGGCACGGCAGACCATGCTACGGCTTATTTTGCAATCCAAGCCCTTAACCCTAAACCCTAAACCGGTGCCATGGGTCAGGAATGGGAGGGTGCAGCGTGTAGAGTGTCGGGACACTAGCCAAGGTACTAGTACAATGAGGTGGCATGAGAGTTGTCTGAGTACGTACTGTAATCTAGGGTTACAAGCAAGTATAAGTATAGTTACCTTGTTATTATATGACCCTAGCTACTATAGTTACTATAGTTAAACCCTAAACCCTAAGACCCAGTTGCCTTCCCAATCCCGCACCAGGATCTCGTGCAAATTTGTGTGCCTGCTTCCTCGCCCGGTTCACGAGAACAAACTGGTCAATCTCCTCACCTTGGGTTTCTGGGGGTTTCGGGTTTGGGTTTAGGGGTGGGTAGGGGTTTATGGTTTGGGGGTTCAGGGGTTTAGGATTTATGGGATTAGGGTTGGGGGTTTGGGGTTTAGGCTGTGGCGCTTGGCTTGAGATCAAGGCTTTCGCGGCTGATGGGGGCAAACCGGTTGGCTGGTCCGAAGCGCTAGCCGGCATGGGCAGTTCAGTGCCGCTCCCCCTCCCATACATGGAACCCAACTCAGACCCTCGGATCGACACAGCAGTTTAGTTCATGCACCTGCTTCTGTCCCAGTCCCCCGTGCTCTGAACAAAAAGCCTGAGAACGACACCATGAAGACGTTCGCCGAAATCCTACGGTGCTACAGCGCGAAGCCAGAGGCCAGAAGTCCAGAGATCTTGGAGCACTGTAGGGGCCTTACTAATTAGAATACGGTTTTGGTCTCCTTTATAGTATAAATAAATAAATATATATATATATATATACATAGATATATATAATAAGGAAGCTTAAGGAGTAATTATTTAGGCTTCTGTATCATCACCATATCAGTACAAGCCAAGAACCCCTGACCGCCCGCGACTCTCTTTCCAAAACCTCTCGCGGAAAATGGCCTCGGGTTTGGGGTTAGGGTCTGTGTTGTAGGGTAATGTAGGGGCCTTAACAATCAGAATAAGGTTTTGGGGCCCACTACACTAGAGTTATAATACGGAACCCCAAAATAGTATTGGTAATCATTTTAGGCCCCTATATTATGCTTAAGGGTTTCGGGTCTGAGGCAAACGGTCTCTTCGAGCACAGGGGTTTCCCATCCGGTCCGACCCAAAAACCCCCGAACCCCTCGCCAAAAATCTCACCCTGAAAACTTACTTAAACCTCTGTGAATCTATGAATCCCGAAGCAATCCCCCTTCTCCCCCCTAAAGCCTCAATGCCTAAACCCCAAAAAGACTTTGTAAAACCCCTATAGAATAATTCTGGAACCCTGAAGGGACCGTTTCAAGGAACCCTTAACGGAAGCGCTAGACCCTAAACCCTAAAACCGTGAAGCCTTAATGAGCTGCCCTTAGAGGACCCTACAAGGAAGCCTAAAAAGATCCCGTAAAGGACCTCTGAAAGGCGCCCCCCCTTTGAGGAACCCTTGATCTAGGACATTTTCAGGTGGGTAGTTACCGTTATAGGAGCCTTATAAAAGGTCTATGTACCTTATGGAAGCCTTGTAGCAGCCCTATATACCCTAAACTCCCCACCTGTAGTTTCCTTTAACTTGAAGGGCCCGTTTAAGGAGCCCTGAAAGGAAGCCGCGGGATCCTGAACGGAACTCTTTGGGAAACCCTTTCAAGGAACCCCCTTTAAGGAACCCACTGGAACCCTAAACCCTAAACCCCGTTTAAGGAACCCTTTTTGTAGGAACCGGAACCCTAAACTCCCGAAACCCTAAACCCCTTTAAGGAACCCCTTAAAAGGAACCGGAACCCTAAACTCCCTAAGCCCTAAACACCTTTAAGGAACCCTTCAAAGGAACCGGAACCCTTAAAAGGAACCCTTTTAAGGAACCCGGAACCCTTAAAAAGGAACCCCTTTTAAGGGAACCGGAACCCTTAAAAGGACCCCCTTAAAAGGAACCGGTAACATTAAAAGGACCCCCTCAAAAGGAACCGGTAACATTAAAAGGACCCCCTTAAAAGGAACCCGAACCCTTAAAAAGGAATCCCGTTTTAAGGGATGAAGCCCCGAGGGGCCAAGTGCTCGGTAGCCGTCGGAAGACTTGAACTTCTCGGTCTCGTGCTTGGCCTGCTCCTTGAACTTAGAGGTTTAGGGTTTAGGGTTTAGGGTTTAGGGTTTAGGGTTTAGGGTTTAGGGTTTAGGATTTAGGGTTTAGGGTTTGAGTGTAGGGTCTAGTGGCTGCATAGGGCTTTGGGTTTAGGGTCTACGGGGTTTAGGGCTTAGGGTGTAGGGTTCAGGATTTAGGGCTTACCCTAAGGGTCCTTTCACGGGTGCCCGTATACAGGTACTACTGTAAAGGTGCCATAAGGATTGAGGGGGGTTAGGGAAAAAGGGTCCATGTATTTAACCAAACTAGTATATGCTTTAGCCCAAAAGCACGAATGCAGGGACTAAAGCCCAAGTCTATAGTAAGTTGGGTACATGGGTGCTTGATCTGAGGGTTGGTAGGGGTTTCGGGTTCAGGGTTTGACGATGCCTTGATCTGCTCCGTGATGTTGTTTCGGGGACTGGGAGTTAATTTCGAGTTTCAGGGTTAAGGGTTTCAGGGACATAGATTTGGGGGTTTAGGGTTTAGGGCTTGGGGCTTTAGGGCTCCAGGGCTCTTAGGGCTCTAGGGCCGGCCTGAGGATTCCTTGATCTTACTTTCAATAGCGAGGCTACAGGGCTTTTTGGGATTCTACAGTAAGGGTTTTAGGGTTTAGAGCTTGGGGGTTCGAGGGGTTCGGGTTTAGATGGGTTCGGAGCAAGGATCGACAACGACAGCCTTGGACGAATTAAGCTTAGGGTTTAGGGTTTAGGGTTGAAAGACACTACTCTCATAAATAAGGCGTCTCTAGAACACAATGAACACCCCTAAACCCACCCTGTAAGACATCAGAGGTCCCCCAAGACCGACCAAAGGTCCTTCTCTGTCTGCGCAGCTGTGTCGTACGGCAGTCCTCGGCGTGGAAATATCTTGGAGCCTCAATAATTAGAATAGGACATTGGGACACATTATAGTCTCATTTTATAAGGCTTGTAATAAGGGAATACCAACTAACCATTACTCTAACTTCTAGAATATGACAAGAATTTGTAGGCTTCAAGGCTTTCTTTTGGAGCCAAAGAGGGGTTGGCAGCGTGTCGGGTGCAAACTTGCTTACTCAGCCCGCCCATCGCTGCAATCTTAAGCCTCATGCATGGAGCTTAAACCCCAGAACCTTGGAGGGCTAACCACAAAACCCTAACAACCCCAAACTCTAAGTTCGGGATACAGGAAGAGTGCTCTGTTTTGGAATGCAGCATAGCGGCAATTGGCCTGAGCTAACTTGGAACAGCAGTAGTAAGTTCGGGCTTATGGGGTTTAGAGTTTAGAGTCTATGAGGGCCTATGGGCCTATGGGGTTTGAGGGTAGAAGGCTTATAGACTTTTGGAGGTTTAGATGGCAAGCCCAATAAACCTGAAAAGGTTGATTCATCAACGTACCCTCTATAGTCCCTCCACAATGACACCAAACACCATCTTAACAAAGGCACCGAGACTATCCCTAAACCCTAAACCCCTAAACCGCTAAACCCACTAAACCCCTGAACCTTAAACCCTGAATAAACCCCTTCAAAACCCCTGAAAGACCGAGTGTTGGAAGCTCTTTAGCCCGCAGCCGCAAGGAAAACAGCAATAGGCTCGGGCCTATGATTTAAGATCAAGGGTTTGGGATTTTTGGGGTTTGGGGCTTTGGGGATTGGGATTTTAGGGTTTAGGGTTTTCGGGTTTACGGCCTAGGGCCTCTAGGATGTAGGGTTCGCGCGTCTTAATGATCAAGCTATACCAGATCGCACAGACCACAACAACACCCTGACATCAGTCATTGCAGTCAGGAATCCTTCTAGTAACCCTTTTAGTAACTCTTTCCGTAACCCTAAGCCCTAAACTCTATAAGCCCCTGCCCTCATAGCAACTCTTTCAGTAACCCTAAGCCCTAAACTCTATTAGCCCCTGCCCTCATAGCAACACTTTCCGTATCCCTAAGCCCTAAACTCTAGAAGCCCCACAAAGGACCCCAATGAAGGAAGGCCATGGCACTCTCAGCCTTGCCGAGCGATTGCCAAGCCTTTCCAGCTTCAACTAAAACAGCAGCCGAGGATGAACCCTTCCTTGGTGGCAGGGTTTAGGGTTGGTGCAAATGGGGTTGGGTCTAGGGTTTAGGGTTGGGGGTAAACTCTAAACCCTTCCTTGGTGCAGGGTTTAGGGCTGGTGCAGATCAGCTTTGGTCTAGGTTTAGGGTTGGGGGGTAAACTCTAAGCCCTTCCTGGGTCCAAGTGGTGTTCAATTTAGGCGCCCGAATAATTTCAATTTGGCTTTCGGGTATACTATAGTCTCAACTATGTTAGGGAATCCTTCCTTGGTGCAAGTGGGGTGTAGGCCCTGAACAAGTCCCTCTAAACCCTAAACCCCAACGAATCCTACCTAACCCCAAACCCCTAAGCCCTAACCCCAACATCTCAAACTGAACAAGTCTAGATTTGCGGTTGAGTGCCTAGGGCTCAGAAATTCTTAGACTCCCCTGAACCCTAAACCCTAAACCCTAAACCCCTAAACCCCCTAAGACTCCCCTGAACCCTGAACCCACTTCTTAGATTCCCCTGAACCCTAAACCCGAAATCCCCAAACCCAAAACTCCTAAACCCCCTAAGCCCACAGAAGTTCTTAGACTCGAGCTATCGATGCTTTCGTCTGCAGCTGCGGTCTGGTTCAGCTTCCAAGTTCGGTTCATGCAAGGTGCTGCCGGGAAAGGGGCTCCCTTAAAGGGTACTACAGGGTTCTATATCAGGGTTTAGGGTTTTAGGGTTTAGGGCTAAAGGGTTCTATAACAGGTCCCCTTAAAGGGCACTATAGGGCTCTATATCAGGGTCCCCTTAAAGGGTACTAGAGGGTTCTATATCAGGGTCCCCTTAAAGGGTACTAGGGGGTTCTATAACAGGGTCCCCTAAAGGGCACTAGAGGGCTTTATTAAAGTAGGGTCCTTTTACGGGGCATAGTAGACTTACAGTTTAGGCTAGAAGACTTTGGGTTTAGGGAACTTTAACGGCTCCTATAAGGGATCTAGAACGGTAAGAGTACTATAGGGGTGGGATGAGGGGCTTATATAGGGCTTAGCATTTTAGGTAGTTCTCTAAATTAGGGTCCCTTTTCGGGTCCTTTTTGCAAGGGTGCCGTACTACATTGGGGACCTAAAGCGGGACCCTAATTTAGAGAACTACCCATTTTAGGGTCTGTCCTAGCTATCTTCTTCGACCTTCCGCTTTGGTGGTGGCCGGGTCTTGGCCAAACTCCACGGGGCCTGGGGTGAAAGCAAACACAAATAGAACCAATATCCCTGCAGCCTAATTAGAGACACACAGTGCACCTGCTTTACCTGTAGTCTCCTTTGTAGTGCCTTTTCGGCATTACCTTCTAGGATCCTTAATCTAAAATTGGTTAAACCGAAAAAAGGAACTACAATGGAGACTGCAGGTAGGGTTTAGGGTTTGGCCATCCCTCTTCCCCTGGTCGAATTATGAGGCCCGCCCGAACCTGTCGCCACAACCATAGGCCAAAGGTGCCATAGAACGAGGCACGACGTTATGGGGATATCCGGTATCCCAATGCCGTGTTCTTCAAAAGAGTCATGGCCCTTGGGCAAATTGAGCGGTGCCTGCCACTGAGCCATTAGCTCTTGTTCGACCACCCAAGCCGACTGATAGTCCTCAAACGCCTGCAGAAGCACCAGCGCGAATTGACACAGATGGTCCTGGGATGCCGAATATCTCAACGACAACTCGACCTCGGGGAATCGCAGATGATTGGCCTCTTACAGTCGATTTGGATTCAGGGTTTGGGTCTAACGGGTATTAGGGCTTAGGGCGTACGGTCTTTCAGTCGCCTTTGGATGCACCCTATAAGCCCTAAACCCTAAATCCCTGTTAGTAGCCTTCTAGACTTATAGATCCCTTATCAGAACCCTGGGTTTAGGGTCTAAGGCTTTGGGGTGGTCTGTTGCCGGAATCCTGGCTGGTATTCGGTTGCCCGGGCTTAGAAACAGAGCTGCGCATACATACCTATTCCTTACGTACGGGCCCAAATGGTCCTATGTACCTATGTACTTTAGGGTCTCTGCATAAGGATTTGTGAGGGAATTTTCGTTACTTACGGGTTTAGGGCTTAGGGTTAGGCTTTGGGGTGTAGGGCTCTCTTTTGGGAACTTGCTCCGCAAAGGGTCTTGACAAAAAACTCCGAGCAGAAGACGAGCCAAGCAGACCTGACGAACGCTGTAACATATGTCTTCACCTAATATAGGGGCCTTAATGACTAGAATAGGGTTTTCGGGCCCATGACAGCATCATTAAAATCTATAATAAGGAACCCCCAAAACCATGTAGGTAATTATTAAGGCCCCCATTATTTCCGGCGGGTACAAGTAGTCTTCAATGGTTACGGCTGCGGTACCCACGGGCACATGCACTGGACGTGTCCTACCTGCGTCCACCAGTATTGCCTCAGATCCCTGCCTGGCATCCATACTTTATCTGAGGTTTAGGGTTGAGGGTTTAGTTTTTGTTGGTTTTGTAAATGGCTCTTTTCCGTCTGCTCATGTCTGAGCTCAAGAAGGGTTTAGGGTTTAGAGTTTAGGGTCGTGTGTTACCATGTCGGGAATCCTTCCTCGTTATCATCCTCACCATCATCACCTTCGTGACTATTCATGACACTTGCCACTATCACCACTGGCACAAACTCCATGGAGCTGAACCGTTACATGGCACCTCGAGCCCATCACCATCAGCAGCATCATGACCATGACCAATGTGGCCATCTGAAGTACACTCGTCGTCATTGCGTCAACATGACAATCATCATCACCATCATCACCATCATCATCATCAACATCATCATCATCATATTCAGCACCATCACCATCATCATCAACGTCACCACCATCATCATCATCATCGTCATCGTCATCGTCATCGTCATCGTCATCGTCATCGTCATCATCATCATCATCATCATCATCATCACCATCGCCATCATCACGATAATCATCTATTGCACCGAACCCTAGCCGATACAATGATTACCGTAGTCCGTAGTTGCCATCCATTAATATCATAGGGTTTAGGCTCTAAGGCTAGATAAATCTCAAAGCTCAGGCTTTAACCTAACGCTGAAGGGTTTCAGGATTCAGGTTCAGGCTTCAACCCGAAGTTTCCTTAACCCTAAACCCTCATGTCTACATTGCTGATGAAGAAAGCTGGCCTGGGAGTTCTCGGTGCGTCTGGTAGCGAGCGAAAGTGCTTGCTTAGCCTGAGATTACGGTTGCGGGTTCAGGGTTTAGGGTGTAGGGTCGACGGTTTCGAGGTGTGGGCTTTAGTAAGTATAGCTGGGATACAGGTAGGGAGACACATAAACCCATCACGTAAAGCATAAGTGAGTCATACGAGAAGCTGGTGGGGAGACAGATACGTGGATAGACAGTCATACCAACATCAGTACATAGATGGAAATACACTTAGTTAGGTATGACGACCTGTCTTCATGTGCCAAAATGGTCCATGTGCTCATACGGTATACAGTTTGGCCTTACTTAAAGCAGTCCCTATCTAGACATTTTGAGGCCAAAGTATATACCATTTGGTTACATGGACCCTTATACCCGAAACCCTATGGTACACTTATGGTAGCACCCGCATCGAACCTGAAAGGCGCCCTTGAAAGGAACCAACCCAACCCTTAGAGACATCTCAAGGTTCGAAGCAAGGCTCCCTTCGTGACGCTAGTGAAGTAGGGCCTGGGGTTCTTTCAGGGTTTAGGGTGTTAGGAAAGAGGGTGTTAGGTGTTACGGTATAGGGGTTTTGGGACTAGGGTTCAGGCCTCTTGGAGGGTGTAGGGGTTGGGATGTAAAGGACTAGGCTGTTAGGGTTTAGGGTTCAGGAGGCACTTCTCCATTGCTCCATGTTCTTCTCGAGGCCAGGAAGTGTTTGCTTCGAGTTCCGCGGCAAAGTCGCAGCTTCAGAGCATCGCAAGACGCGGCAAGACGCCATGATACTGCATGCCCGAGTAGACTTGGGAACTCGAAGACCAAAGCAGCTCCTCGATTGCCTAATTCAGGGTCAATGCGCCCATATAGGTTGGGCCGAAAGTACCTACATAGGAATTTAGGGACTACGTTAAGTCCAAAGCATACACCATATGAGTTCATACATGCATGGCCGTTAGGGATACTTTTGTGGTACTCTAAGGGCGCATGTGCCCATACCCTATAAAAACCCTAAACCCCATACACAGGTTACCCATAGACCCCATAGTAGTTCCTTTTTGTGGCTTATATTTGGGATCCTACTAGGTAATCCCAAAAGGGAACTACTATGGGGCCTATGGTAAGCGCCATACACAGTATGCCTTTGGCCCTGAAGTGCCAGCGGATCGAGACCAGTGGGCCGTAGGGCCTCGCTCCGGGTTTCACCTGTCCTCCTGGAAGCTGGCAGAACCTCTGACCCCGGTATCGGGATAGGAGGTGGTCCGATAATTGCAGAGTAGGTGTACGGTTTAGGGTTTATGGAGGCTTGTAGGGTTCCAATTTGAGGCTAAGAGTTTAGGGTTTAGGGTTCCAATTTGAGGTTAGGGGTTTTGATAAACCCTAAACGGTAAAGCCTAAACCCTATTCTCGAAACCAGAAACTGTCCTCGTTCTCCTCCATGCCGGTGTCCATGTCTGCCGGGCCCGACGGGGCCTCCGATACTAGCGGCATCTCCGTGCCGTCGCCGCCATCCTGTCTGGTGCTTAGTAGGGAATGGGGGAATGGATCCTTATGATAGTCCCTTAAGGTCCCTTATAGTAGTCCCTATAACCTATTCCCCCCATTCCCTACTAAGCACCAGACAGCATCCGGGCACTCCTCGCCTCCGGGAGGTCCATCGTTGCCTTCCCTCACTGTGGCATCTAAGGCAGAAATGCCAGCTGACGTTTGCGCACACCCCTCAACCCCACACCGTGAGCCCCACTAAACCACGAACATGACTCCCCAAACGTCAGCAATTTCAGCTTTAGACACAGAGCTTAGGCCTTATAGCCGAGGGTCCAGGGTTCAGGGTGCTTAGGATGCTTTGGGGCTTGGGCTTTAGGTTTAGGCTGTAGCCTCCAGTTCGAGACACCGTCTCATAAACATAGGAAACCTTCAGGCGGAGCCCGAGGTGCTCTCATTCAGGCATATTACAACAAAAACACAGGGGATTCTTAGGATGGTACTCACATACGCAACCATATATTCCTTGATTGAGGGGTGATTCTCTGGGTATGGAGTATGGACCACACATGAAGGCGTTGTCCATCCTTGGAACAAGGTTGCAATCTGTGTGGACCTAGTGTTTCTTCGGAAATATGGTTTGGTTTAGGATTTAGGCCTAAACCCATAAACCCTAAACCCTAGGTTAGACACTAAACCCTAAACCAAAACCCAAACCCTCAGCCACCCTGTATCCTAAACACTGCCAAACCCTAAATCCGAAGCCTAAACCCTAAATCCAAAGCCTAAACGACTTGTTCCGGGTAGAAGGACCAAACCCTGGCTCCTAGCAGCCAAACGCTGAACTCGCAAGCATGAAGGAAAACGTCCTGAAACATACTCATACAGGTTTCTACGGCTTAACGTTGTTCAAAAATGCCTGAATCCTAAAACCTAGAGCCCTAAAACCC